GAGACCTGAAGAAGACTTATTCATGGCCTAAGATTTACATTTCTTAGCTTATCTTACTCTAAAGAGGCAGCGTTCTGCAAAATCCTTATTAGGCATGGCATAAGAATTTTAGTTAATGTATCTCACTCTCCTTTTTTCTGCGTTCTACCGTGGAAAATGGTCCAATAATACATATATCCCTTATGTACATAAGCTATGGCCCATTAGTGGCCTATTTTCTGTACACACCCAAGAAATTAGCTCTAATTTGAATCCACTTGCTATTGACTAGCAAGTCAAGCGACTCAAGCCAAACCTATCCATGTTCATCTCAGAAATCGAAAGGATTCAAAACATATTTGGCCAATCTAGCCTGCAACTAGTATACATTGAACGTGAAGCTGAAGGCCTCTACATCAAAGAAGATATGATATATCTACTTTGCATGGGAGACCTGGGGAAGACTTATTCATGGCCTAATATGTACATTTCTTTAGCTTATTTTATTGTTAGGTGGTGTTTGATGTAGTGGTTGTATATAAATGTTGTCTTACCCTCCGATCATCATTTTTACTGATCTTAATTTGACTTTTTGATTTTTTTGAATACAAATTTAAAATAAAAATTTAGCAACTTATATAAATAACAATTGAAAATTTCTTTTTTTTTTTCCTATATGAAGTTTTCGTTAAGTATTTTTATTTGATAAAAAAAATTTTAATTATCATTTATATAATATGTTAAATTATAAGATGTATTGAACCAAATATATACTAATCACTGGATAGAGAATTTCCCTAATCTCCTCTACAGCAGTAAAAGTAATACACAAAAGGTAAAATCCAATAAAATTGTCAAGAAAGTGTTTTTTTTTTTTTAGTTAACCGATTGAACTGATCAAATAAATTAGTTCAACTAATTGAACTGACCTAGTGATCAAAACAGGTCAATCACCGGATTGGATCCAAAAACATTGAAAAATACATCAAGAGAACCGGGGTAAAACTCTCAAAAGTGAAAAAAACTCTCGCAAAGAAGAGAAATAAAATAATAATAATAATAATAATAAAGAATCTAACTTTTATTCATCCTCCTCCTCACCAGCCAAGGGAATAGAGACACTGGATAGAGATAAAGAAAAATTAAGGGCGAAAAAATTAAAGGCAGCAGAGATAGGGGCGCTAGGGGTATGAGTTTACATGGACAAAAAAACGATCAAATTAAACCCTTGATAAGGAGTTTAAAGTGTTGAACTAAAAATGAGCAAATGAAATAAATTCTGAACCTGTAGATTAACTCGTTAATCTCGTTGAGGTCTTGTGCTTAAAACATAACAGATTGCTAAGGGGGTATAAATGGGTGCAACCAAGTGACAAGATGTGAGATTCTATCAATCTGGCTAGGCATGGTTATTTGCCTTAATGCATCTAAATGTACATCCATTAAAGGAAGATACATGTATATACAATCATTTTGAATTCATATACATTCACTAGATGCTGAACTTGATCAAATAGTCATGTCCATTTTGGCATGCACACCAAAAGACACCATAGCTTTTATAAAATAGGGGGTTCAAAACACTTCGAAATACAATTTACTCATTTTGTCATTCCTTCACATTTGCATTTCCAGAAACCTTTTGATAGAGATATTTTGATGTTCTAAAAATAGGTATTTCGATTCATGCCTCAAAACTATTTTGTTTTCCTTTCATATTTTATTTGGATATTTCTTTTTCTAACAATTTTGACATAGCAAGATAAGAGAATAGAGTGTGTGGAGGATATACTTCTTTGACCGTGACAAAGACTTTTGCAGGTGTCCCACATCGTAAGCTGCCTCGTCAAGAGTACGATACACGAACATATTCTGTGGAGAATAGGCTAAGAAATGTATTTCTTCGGCTGTGTGTGAATAAGTCTTTTTCTTTTTTTCTTTTTTTTAAAGAAAATAATAAAGAATAAGTCTTCTTTGGCTGCATGAACAGAGTTTCATATTAATTTCAACAAAAATGCTATAGAAATATCAACTTTAAAACACAGATGTGACTCTTTAGTTGTATATATATGATCTGTTTTATTTGTTGTTTCAATTTTTTTTTCTGCAAAGATCTTACGTACCTATGTGAAAGCATGCACCAATCCCTGATCATAAAGAATGGGATCAGATCATTGTACAGGTAGATTAGAAATATTTTGGAACATAGAATGAAATCAGATTGAGACCGTACACGTTAAAATTATTTATCGTATTCATCCCCGAACATCTTGATTGAAAAACCTTTTCTTGGGCCAAGAAAAAAAAGCCTTGTTTTTTTTCTCTTCATTAGATTGAAAATATATTGCTGTGATATTAATTATATCCTCAGTTTATTTTTAATAAATCTAATTTGATTTTTTTGATTTTTTAGACATGAATTTTAGATAAAAATTTAACATATTATATAAATGATAATTAAAATTTTTTTTGATCGAATAAAAATACTTAACGAAAACTTCAAAAAGTCAAATTAAGATCAGTAAAAAAGATGATCGGAGGGTAAGACAACATTTATATACAACCACTACATCAAACACCACCTAATAATAAAATAAGCTAAAGAAATGTACATATTAGGCCGTGAATAAGTCTTCTCCAGGTCTCCCATGCAAAGTAGATATATCATATCTTCTTTGATGTAGAGGTGTAGAGGCCTTTAGCATCACGTTCAATATATACTAGCTGCAGGCTAGATTGGCCAAATATGTTTTGAATCCTTTCGATTTCTGAGATGAACATGGATAGGTTTGGCTTGAGTCGCTTGACTTGCTAGTCAATAGCAAGTGGATTGAAATTAGAGCTAATTTCTTGGCTATGTACAAAAAATAGGCCACTAATGGACCATAGCTTATGTACATAAGGGATATATGTATTATTGGACCATTTTCCATGGTAGAATGCAGAAAAAAGGAGAGTGAGATACATTAACTTAAATTTTTATGCCGTGCCTAATAAGGATTTTGCAGAACGCTGCCTCTTTAGAGTAAGATAAGCTAAGAAATGTAAATCTTAGGCCATGAATAAGTCTTCTTCAGGTCTCCCACGCGGAGTAGATATATCATATCTTCTTTGATGTAGAGGCCTTTAGCTCAAGTCAATTAATTTCACATTCAATATATACTAGCTCCAAGCTAGATTGGCCAAAAATGTTCTGTATCCTTCTGGTTTTTGAGACGTATGTAGATAGGTTTGGCTTGAGTTGCTTGACTTGCTAGTCAATAGAAAAAAGAGAGTGAGATACATCAACTAAAATTCCTAGGCCGTGACTAAGAAGGATTTTGGCATGCGAAACGCTGCCTCTTCAGAGTAAGATAAGTTAAGAAATGTACATCGTAGGCCATGAATAAGTCTTCTCCAAATCTCCCACGTGGAGTAGATATATCATATCTTCTTCGAACTAGGGGCCTTTAGCTTAAGTAAATTAATTACACATTCAATATATACTGGCTGGTTGGCTAGATTTGCTTAAAATGTTCTATAACCTTTTAATTTCTGAGATGAACATAGATAGGTTTGGCTTGAGTCGCTTGACTTGCTAGTCAATAGCAAGTGGATTCAAATTAGAGCTACAAGCTAGATTGGCCAAAAATGTTCTGTATCCTTCTGATTTTTGAGACGTATGTAGATAGGTTTGGCTTGAGTCACTTGACTTGCTAGTCAATAGCAAGTGGATTGTTCTTATTGATCTACACTTATATAAACATGCCATCACCATGCTAACGCACCAAAGCCAAAGAATTTTCTTTCTTGTTGCATATTGCCATTTTTTTTTCTCTCTCCATGGATTTGTGTAGCGCTGCTCAGTTCCTTGAAAACAAGACCATTTTGGTCTCTGGTGCAACTGGATTTTTAGCAAAGGGTATACATTTTATATAATATTAGTCCACCCTTTCATGTTTATGCAGCCCCTTTGATTTCTGTCTCTCTTGTACTTATAAGGGTTTGAATTTATAAATGCAGTTTTCGTAGAGAAGGTACTGAGAATTCAGCCCAATATCAAAAGGTTGTATCTTCTCATGAGAGCAGCTGATGTCAACTCCGCACATCAACGCCTTCACAAAGAGGTGTACATATTGTATATACAAAGAAAAAGCATATAAATAATCATGCATATATACTCTGCTCGTTTCCTTTTGTTAATTGATTGAATAGCCAATTGATTTCACAGGTTCTAGGGAAGGAATTGTTTAGTGTTCTGAGAGGAATTTTGGGTTCAAATATCGATTCATTTTTTTATGAAAAGGTGATTCCAGTTCTTGGTGATATTTCTCGTGAGAATTTAGGAATACAAGATATCACTTTAAGAAAAGAAATTTGGAGAAATACAAATATAATAGTAAACTGTGCTGCAACAACTAATTTTGATGAAAGGTATTATATATACACCTTCTTTTGTCTAAGAAGCTAACCTTCTGCCATTGTTTAAGTTTAATAAAGTTTTATTATTGTTTTGTAGATATGATGTTGCATTGGCTATCAATACAATGGGAGCTCTAAATGTCTTAAACTTTGCAAAGTTATGTCCAGCAGTAAAGATGCTTCTCCATGTTTCAACAGGTAATATTTGAGGTTTTTTTTTTTTTTTTGGGTGCGCTTAACTA